AGGACAAAACACTTTGAAGTTGATACACACTTTATAAGAGAAAGGGTAACAACCGGAGAAGTTTGTTTGCCTTGTGTCTCTTCAGAGTTGCAGCTGGCTGATGTTCTCACTAAAGGGGTGGCAAAGAACAGGCTTGAACATGATCTACGCAAGTTGGGAATGTGTGACATTTACTCTCAACTTGAGGGGGAGTGTTGAAGATTAATTAGTTTTATTATGTTTTTCTGAGTAGATGTTTTATGTTAGTTGTTAGATAGGAGGTGGGGACCACAATAGTTATGTGAGTCCAAATTTTATTATGGTTTTGAGTGTTATATATGCTGTTTTATGTTTTGCCGCCCTATAAGGGCATAGTTGTCTTTGTACTGTTCTATTATTTTAGTATAAATAATAAGTGAAGGGGGCGGCCAGATCATTGCTGTCTTTTCTTTCCAACTTCTCTTCTTCTCTTCTTCACCTTCTCTCTTCAAGAAACTACTCTTCTTTTATATTTTTTAATTCAGCAGATTTCTACTAAAAGGGTGCTAAAAGATATAGAGAATTTGTGGAAAGAAATAGGATGTTTGAATTTCATATAGGGCTGAATCCAAAATATGACATTACTGGACAGAACATATTGGAAAATGATGATGTAATCCTCTCTTAGGCTTATTCTATGATGAGTCACCTCATTAGAACCCTCTCTTAGGCTTATTATTATTAACATTCTTGATTAGTTATCCTCCTATTAAGTCACCTCCTTGTGTGTCTCCTCCTATTGAGTCATCTCCTAGTTCCCCTATTTCAGTTCCTCCACCACTGCCTCTACGTCCTCTTTCATTTGTGCCTCCTCCTATCCTTTAGAGGTGGTAGCAACGACAAAGGTTTAGGAATGAGCAAGTTGTTTCCACTTCTATAGTTGAGCTTCTTACACTCCAAGTTGCTGAAGAGACAATAGGTGTTGAGCCTATATCTTAGCATCCCCCTTTCCTTGACCTTGATATATCCATTGCCATAAGAAAGGGAAGAGAAAATGCATTGCACATTGTATTTGAAAGTATCTTTCTTATGGTTTGCTCTCCCCATCATATTATTCCTTCTTAACCTATCCCTAAGTTTGTATCAAAAGCACTATCAAAACTAGAATGGAGGGATGCTATGAAAACAGGGATAGAGGCATTGCATAAGAATGATACTTGGGATGTGGTTGATTTACTTGAGGGCAAGGAACTTGCTAGGTGGAAATGGGTTTCCACTATAAGGGACACAAACATATGGGTTAGACTACTTGGAGACATTTCCCCTGTTGCTAAGATGACATTTGTAAGAGCTTGTTGTCTTTGGTAGCTAATTTTGATTGGCCACTCTATCAATTTGATGTAAATAATGCTTTTTTGAATGGGGAGTTTCATGAAGAAGTGTATATTCTCTTCCTCCTAGGATGTATGAGAAAGAAATGCAGGGTAAGGTATGTAAATTGAGCAAGTCTCTCTATGGCCTTAAGCAACCATTGAGGTCTTGGTTTGAGAGGTTCAAGGTTTCCCTTGTTCATTTTGGATACACAGAGACATAGTCAGACCATACCCTCTTTGTGAAGAGGAGAGGTTCTCTAGTTACTTTCTTAATTGTCTATGTGGATGACATTGTAGTTACTGGTAATGATATGCAAGAAATTGATAGCCTCAAATACTTTCTTAATGCTGATTTTGAAATTAAAGATTTTAGGAGAATTGAGATACTTCTTGGGGATTGAAGTTGCTAGGTCCAAATATGGCATCTTCACCTCCCAACGTAAGTATGTGCTTGACTTATTGGAACAAACAAACTTGGGGTCAAACCTACTGCCACACCTATTGGTTTGAATCATAAGCTCTTTTCTTCCGACAAAGAGTTGCTTGTGGATAGGGCAGTGTTCCAGAGGTTGCTTGGGAAGTTGTTGTACCTATGCATGACTCCCCTTGATATTTTTTATGTTGTTAGTGTCATTAGCTAGTTTATGCATGCCCCTGAAGAAACAGACATGGTTGTAGCAGAGAGAGTTTTATGTTACTCGAAGGGTACACCAGGAAGAGGTATCCTCTTTGGAAAGCTTGGTCAGAGGAAACTAGAAGCATATACAGATGCTAACTAGGCAAGATGTATTGATGATAAGAGGTCTACATCTGGGTGTTGTACCATAGGTGATGGAAATCTAATTTCTTGGAGGAGCAAAATATAGTCAATGGTAGCTATGTCTTCAAATAAGATAGATTATTAGGGGTGGATTCGAGCCGAGCCGAGCCGAATAGTACCAGGCTTGAGCTCGGCTTGAGACCATTCTACAAGGCTCGAGCTCGGTTCGAGCCAGAACCTTGAGCTCGAGCTTGATATTGAGAAAAAAAATATTTTATAAAAATAAAAATTATATATAAAAAAGTTTTTATTTTAAATTTAAAAAATTAAGAATTATAATATTTTTATTTATTTTCTATAAATTTTATTATATATATTATATATATTAAATATCAAATATATATTTATTATATATTAAATATCAAATATATATTTATTATATATTAAATATCAAATATATATTTATATTATATATATATATATATATTCGAGCCAGCTCGCGAGCTTCATGAGCCGAGCCCTAATATGCTTGAGCTTGTTTAATAATCGAGCCACTAAATTGGGCTTGAGCTCGGTTGAAACCGAGCTGAGCCAAGCTCAAGCAGCTCGTGAAAAGCTCAGCTCGTTGCCACCCTATAGATTATAGAGCCATGGCACATGGTGTATCTAAGCTGTTGTGGTTACGATCTATAATGGAGGAGATGGGTGTTGAATATGACAAGCCTCTAATGCTGTATTGTGACAATCAGGTGGCCATTAGCACATAATCCTATCCAACATGACCAGACCAAGCATATTGAGATGGATAGGCACTTCATTAAAGAGAGAGTGGCATCTAGAGAACTTTGTCTACCCTCATTGCATCTAAAGAGCAACTGGTCGATGTACTTACCAAGGGAGTTCCTAAAGCTAAATTGCAGCAGTATGTAAGCAAGTTGGGCATGATTGACATCTATGCTTAGCTTAAGGGGGAGTGTAGAAATATTTGGTTGGATGGGCCATAATTTAGTTCAGCCTTATGTTTGTTATTTTTTTATGTTAATGGGCCTTTAATTTCATGGACCTGTTGACCTTTTTTCTTTAAGTTTAGAAGCAGCTGACCATCAAGGGTGTTTTATGTAATTACAACTATTTTATTTTGAATAAAAGATTCAAGGTCTGGAGAGAGAGTATGGTTGATTCTTCTTCTTCCTCTTCTCTTCTCTTCTCTTGCTCTATCTTTCTTTCACACTCTTTCTTTCTATTTTTCTTGATTAAAGAAAAGAATTAATTGTTGATTAGTTTTCTTCTTTCTCTCCACTTTTGAAATCATCTTTCTCTTTAGAATGTGAGTCATGTCAGTTGAGTAAGCATTATAGTCTCATTTAGTCCTAAAGTTGAGAGTTGTTTGTTCCTAGTCCTTTTTTGCTTGTTCATTCTGACACTTGAGGTCCAATAAAAATCAAGTTGTATAATGGGTACAAATATTTTGTAATCTTTGTGGATGATTATTCTCACAAGATTTGACTATATTTAATGTAAAACTATTCAGAGTTGTTTTCCATATGTTAGTTGTTTTATGTAAAAATTAAGATTCAATTTGGCATTTCTATTAAAATTTGGATATTTGACAATGGTTGTGAATTTTTATATACACCATTTCAAAAGTTTCTTGGAAAATGGTATTTTTCACTAGACCTCGTGCTCATACACCCCTCAACAAAATAACGTTCCTGAAAGAAGAAATTTCCATCTTTTGGATACTATCTATTCCTTGTTGATACATGTGAATGCTCCAAAGAAATGTTGGAGTGATGCTATTCTTTCTGCCTATCTTTTAATTAATAGAATACCATCATCTTTTTTTGCATAATATTCTCCCTTTTCTGTTTTGTTTCCTTCTGAATCTCCTTTTTGTTGACTCCACATATCTTTGATTGTGTCTATTTTGTTCATCTTCTTGGTTTGGGTCTTGGTATATTGGATGCTAGGACTGTAAAATGTGTTTTTCTAGGATACGCTTGTATCCAAAAGGAACATAAGTCTTACAGTTTTACTTTAAGAAAGTACTTTGTTTGCTTTGATATTACTTTCTTTAAATCTATGCCCTATTATGTTCTTGATGTTGCTCCTAGTAATGTTTCTAAGGTGCCTTTGCCTATTCCTGTCTCTTTTGTTTCTATTTCCAATACTTTGCTTGCTGAGAAACCATCAATTGAGCGAGTGTATACATGACACAAAATGCCATCTACTTATTCATTAAATCCACATTTACCCTGTCTTGATCTTCCTATTACTCTCTAAAAAGGTAAATGTAAAACACAAAGGCATGAGGTGTAATTCAGAATGTAAGAGGCATAAGCCTCCTAAAGAGGAGGGGGATGAGGAGGGAGGGGGAGGCAGAAGAAGAAGAAGATGAAGGAGGATATCATTTTTTTTTGTTTATTTCATTTTTATGAAAGATGTCGTGTGATGCATAGCACTAGCTCAAGGAGGAGGGGGGGGGGGGGTCTAGGGGTGGAGCCCCCCTTCCCAAACTTTCTTTCCCTTTTCTTTTCTACCTTTTCTCTTTTTTCTTCCCTTCTCTTTCTTTCTTTGGCTTGAAACAGTGTAGAGTGGATCATTCAGCTACAAGAATGCTTCTCTAGCATTCCACCCTGCCCAGAGATTATCTATAAAACAGAACATACATTGTCAAACCCCATATATTCTCATAGATGGTCTTATTTTTATGTTGGAGGAACTAATGAGTTATCAACTTTTAACTTGTTGAAAGAAAAAACTTGTGCAGCAGCCTTTACATTGTATTGTGAAACTTTAGGTATTGTCCTTGTGGGAAATTTGTGACTAAGTTCTTTTAATTCCTGTATATTTACAAGTATTTGTTTTTTTTTTTTTGTTGAATATGTCTTTGTTTTCTTTTTATGCAGGATGGAAATTTTATGGTAGGATGCTTGGGTTTTCCACAGGTGAGTGTCTGGCCTATTATACCCCCAGCTTCCAAGGGAAAAGTCTAGATAAAATAGTGCTTCAGCTCTTGCAAATGAAATAAAAAAGTTCATTGTTTTGTAGTTTTAATAAATTTAGATATATTCTAATGGTATGGATACTTATCTTTCTAGAAACTTATTCCTTTCATAGAGTTCATTTGTGATCTAATTTGTTCCATAATTCTTGTAGAGAGTTAAGGGATCATGTTAGCGAAAAAAAAAAAAACAAGAGAGATCAAGAGGGGAGATGGAGGAAAAGGCTTCACTCATGCAAGGAAAAGGAAATGGAGGAGTGGAGAAGAAAGTGTTGCTGTTGTCAGAGATGTATTATCAGAAGGAGCTTACAGTGAAGTTACTGGAAGGAAGGAAAGGTACAACCTTGATAGTGGGTGATGCACCTTTCTGGTTTCAATGTTTTCTTGATGGAGCTTTCTCGTTAGTTAGCAGGAGATCTGGAAAGTTAATATCAAATATTTAGAGTATGTAAGAGAACGGGAAAGGAACTCCAAAGGTTGGTTTGTAACACTAGAAGAAAGATTCGAAAGGGGTAAGAAACATTTGATATTTATTCCTGAAGGAAAAATGCTAGAAGGATGGGTGAAGGTAGAAAACGACCTGCACTAGTTCCTAGTGACTAGGTGGGATAGAAAGAGGGAGAAGACGTGAGAGAAAAAGCTGGTGGAAAGAGGACTGAACAAGGAGGAAATAAAGGAGATTAGAAAGAGATTAGAGAGATTGGGGATGGACACTTCTGATGAAGACCAAAGCTTTGTAACAATTGCCCTCCCCGCACCAAAACCCAAGTTGTGGTTAAATGGGGAAAAGGGGATTGGGAACAAAGACTAGTGCTATCCTCAAAGGTTGAGGTGAAAGACTGGAAAATGGTTTTGGAGGAGGTGACGTTGAAGTTAGGGACTACTCAGACAGCTATCCTAATTCTGTTTGATGAAAAGAAAGCAATATTGGATGTGGGAAGCAAGATGGTTGATTTTACTTTGTAGAGAGACTGGGCCGAATGGGCCCTAGTATCTTTTCTTGTAGTGTGCTATTTATTTATTTGTTTGTTAATGGACCTATCTTTATGGGCCTGTTATTTCTTTTTGTAAGTTCTCTTTATGTTACTGCCTAGCTGGCCGCCCACTTAAGGGCATACTTGTAATTAGCCTAAAGAATGAAGTTTGACAAAAGGATTAGAGAAGGGAGAGAAGAGATAATTCGAACTCTTCTTCTTCCTCTTATTTTCTCCATCTTCTTCCTTTGTGCTGCTGTTCTCTACTTTTCTTCTTCTCTTCTCTCTAATTTTAACCAAGTTTATATCAGTTTGAGGACTGATTCACATCTTGGTATCAAAGCAAGTTCCTTTCTTCCTTATTTATTTTTTTCTCTTTTCCCATACACCCTTCAATTAGGAGAGTGTATGCAGAGATAAGTTCTCTATAGTTCAGAGGATCGTTTGCCTAGTTGGTAGAGGGTTTGGAGAGTGGAAATCTGGTCGAAAACTGCCAAGAAGTGATGCTGTATTATTTCTGCCCAAAACCCTAGCCGATTAGAGAGTTTAGAAGTTACAGGTAAAGGAGAAGCTTTGGGTGTGGTGCTCTATGCTTGGGAGGTGTCTTTTGACTTCTAAAAGAGGGTGGTTCAGTTTTGGAAGAGATTGGGATGCTCTGGTAGGAGCCACTGCATCTTTTCTCTTTCTCCCCGATAGTCGGGCACAGTGAAACCCTAGTTTTCAAGCATCTAGGTACTGTTTTACCTCAAGTAAGTTTATAAAGACCAAATTTCTGGTTTTTTGATTACCATTTGATCAATGGAGCAATACGGAAGTGAATTCAAGCAGGTACTAGTTTTCGGGCTTGGCTCGGTAGATTTTGTTTTGGCTGGTGTGACCACAATTAAGTTAGATGGAACCAATTATCTTGCTTGGGCACAGTTTATAAGGATTTATGTTTGTAGTAGAGGAAAATTAGGATATCTCACAGGAAGTAAGGTGAAACCGGAAGAAACAGACCCTGAATTTGAGAAATGGATCCAGGAGAACTATACAGTCATACGATGGTTGGTCAGCACTATCTTTGGATGTCTTCAACCAAGGAGATCTGGGACAGTGTTACTGAAACCTATTCACAGAAGTTGAATGTGGCAAGAGCCTACAAGCTGAAAAGTGATGTGAAAAACCTAAGACAGGGGGAGAAGAGTGGCAATCTACTATTCTATGTTGAAATCCCTATGGCAAGAAATTGATGTTATTATGGAGACAGTTGTATGGGAGAGTACGAAGGATGCAAAAACTTTTAGGAAGTTGGTGGAACGAAACAAGGTCTTTGAGTTTCTTATAGGACTCAACCCTGAGTTTGACATCATTAGGCAGAATATTCTGGCCAAGGATGAGGTAACTCTTGCCCAGGCATATGCTATGGTAAGCAATGAAGAGAGTAAATGGAAGGTTCAGTTACAAAGTCCACCTACAGAACACTTTGCACATGTTGGAATAAAGCCAAAGGGTCCAACTGAGAAGAAAGAGCTAGTATGTGAATATTGCAAGAAACCGAGGCATAATAAGGACACTTGCTAGAAGCTTCATCCTAATCTTCTACCTAACAGGTTTAAGAATAACAATAGTTTTAAAAAGACCAGTCAGACAGGAAAGCCTAAGATAGCTAATGTTGCCACAATACCTGAAGGAGGAAGTAAGGAGAGTGAAGAGAAGTCAACCATGGAACAGTTGGTAGCAATGAAGGCAGATTTTGAAAAGTATGGAAGGTTGTTAAATCGCTTGGAAGCCACTGTCTCTACATCTCACTCTTCAGGCAACACATCATCATCATCCGCATTTGCTCACTCAGGTATTCGTGCTTCTACAAACCATGCTTCAGCTTCAGGTAATAATAAAATCCCTTGGGTCATTGATTTTGGTGCATCAAACCTATGACCAGCTTGTCTAATCTATTTTGTTCATACCACCTCTCTAGTAAAGAGAAAATATCCCTTACTGATGGGTCTCTTGCTCCAATTTCTGCCAAGGGGGATATCAAGACCTCTAACACCATTTTTTATCCTTTGTCCTTCATGTCCCTAAACTTGATACAAATCTTTTGTCTGTTAGCAGCTTAACTAAATCCATGAACTATAGCATAACCTTCTTTCCCACTCATTATGTTTTTCAAGACCCGCAATCTTAGAGGATGATTGGGAGTGGCCATGAGGCGAATGGAATATACTTGCTGGACACACCTGATAGGATTCTTGGACCACCTCATGGGGCTGCCTTGGAGTCAGTTTTGTTAGAGTTTGTTAACAAAGTCATGTTATGTCATTTTCGGTTTGGTCATTTGTCTTTTTCTGCTTTGAGTCATTTGTTTCCAAATATGTTTAAGGGAGTGTCTTCATCAAGTCTTCATTGTGAGTCGTGTGAACTGGCAAAGCATTGTAGGCAATCTTATTCTGTAAGCAATAAAAGATCCATTTCTCCTTTTCATATTGTTCACTCTGATGTGTGGGGGCCATATCATTTGCCTATTATGGGGGGTTACAGGTACTTTATCCTTTTTATTGATGATTATTCTTGTTACACTTGGATTTATCTCATGAAATCTCGGGATGAAGTACCAACTTTTGTGCAAAAATTTCATGAACTTATTCTTACCCAATTTAACACCTAGATCAAAATATTCCATTCTGATAATGCTAAGGAGTATTTTGAGAATACCCTCTCATCCTATCTTGAAGCTTTTGGGGTTATTCATCAAAGTTCTAGTTCCTACACTCCACAACAGAATGGAGTGGCAAAAAGAAAGAACTGACATGTGGTTGAGATTGCCCGATCCCTCCTTTTTGCATCCCATGTTCCTATAAAATTTTGGGGAGATGATGTCCTTACTGCTACCTTTTTGATTAACCGTATGCCTTCCTGGATGAGGATCTCTTCTCTCTTCCTCTCTGTGTTTTTTTGGTGCACCTTCTATGTACATGTTCACAGCCATCAAAGGCACAAATTTGAACCTAAGGCTCGTAAATGTGTTTTTGTAGGATATGCCTCCACACAGAAGGGATGTTGTTGTTTTGATCCGGTTAGTGGCACCCGCTTTGTATCTTGAGATGTCACATTTGCTGAGTCTACTCCTTTCTTTAGTATTCCTCCTGAGGGGGAGCAATTTGAGGAACCCTTTGTTATGTCTCCAGCAGTTCCTCTTCCTATTCCTTTTGAGTCATCTGATGAGGTGTCCACTTCTCCCACTGGGCCTACCTCCAGTATTCCTGCTCCTCCTCCTCCACCTCATCCTCCTATAATTCCTCCCCATCCTGTTCTCCAAAGGTGGTACCAAAGACACAGATTCAGACATGGGCAAGTTGTTTCCACTTCTACAAAAGAGCCTCTTGCTCCTCCCATCATTACTGAGGTAATAGGTCAGCTTTCCTCCGACCCATCTACTTCTTTCCCAGACCTTGATCTTCCTATTGCTCTTCGCAAGGGCAAGAGGAAGTGTACAGCCCATTATACACCTGTCCTATAGCCTTTTATCCCCTACCTACTACTCTTTTCTTACTTCTGTTTCTTCCCACGTGATACCCAAGTCTGTACCAGAAGCCCAATCTAAACCTAAATGGAGGGATGCTATGATGGCGGAACTAGATGCTTTGCAAAGGAAACATACCTGGGATATTGTGGATTTGCCAAGAGAGAAGGAACCAATGGGTTGTAAATGGGTATTTGCTATTAAATATCATTCTAATGGCTCTATTCAGAGGTTTAAGGCCAGGCTGGTTGCTAAAGGCTACACTTAGATGTATGGTATTGACTTATCTTGAAACCTTTGCCCCTGTGGCTAAGATGACCTCAGTCCGGGTTTTGTTGTCCTTAGTTGCTACTTTTGAATGGCCTCTCCACCAGTTTGATGTTAAAAATGCTTTCTTGAATGGAGATCTACATGAAGAGGTCTATATGTCTTTGCCTCCGGGAGTGTATGGAAAGGAAATGCAAG